ACATAAATAATAAAGGAAAGTCTACAAGGTATATATATATATGTATATGTATACGTGTATGTAATTTTTTTTTTTTGTTGAACACAATTTAAAATTCAGGACTCCAAAAGTTTTCGCAAATTATTAAGACCACAAATGAGTTAATTTAACGGTTTTACGTGTGTGCTTTTCGATTAGGTGTTGAAATTTCATTTCATTTATTATTCAGTGCACATTTATATGGAAAGCAAAATACATACACACATACATATATTTATGTATTACATATACTTCCATAGTATTGAAGTTATATGAGAAACGCGGCAAAATTTCAAACTTTAGAGAAATAAAATTTAATTTTGATAAAAGAAATTGAACTATTACGATAAATATGCAAACTGACGTTAATTGGAAGACAATTAATTTTTTTATTGCTACTGGAAAACTATTGGGTTGCCCCAAAAGAAACTGGCGATTTTTTAAAAGAAAGTTAATAAATTTTTTTATTTTATAATGAACTTTAATCGATTATGTAATTTCCATTTTGCGGGATGAGCTTTCACCATCTTTCCGGCATCATCATTGAACTTCTGACCTTGGTTCTGAAAAACTGAAAAACTGAATCAAGTGCGATTTTATAGCCTCGTAATTTTCAAAAGTTTTCCATTTAATGAGTCCTGCAAAGATCGATCCTGGTGGAATATGACACCTTGATGATGGATGTATTCAATTTGTCCAATTGTTCACAGTAGACATCAGAATTAATAGTGTGGTTCCTTAGAAGCAGCTCAAAATTTACTACACCCTTCCAATCTCACCAAACTGACACCATAATCTTCTTCTGTTGAACTTTTAGCCTTTCAAAAGATTTGTGGCGCTTCATCATGCTTGGAACATCCATTTTTCATCTCTAATTATGATTTGCTTCAAAGACGGATCATAATCATTGCGCTTAAGATGCATATCAAGAGCGTTGAGGCGGCTTGTTTAATGAATTTCTTTCAATTCATACCCAAATATCAAGTCTTTTTACCAGTCCAAGACGTCGTATATGATTATGAACGGTGGATTTTGGTATACTTAACTTCTCTCCAATATCATGCTTAGTTACAGAACCATCCCATTCGATTAAAGCCTTGATATCGTCATCATCATCTTCATTTGGCCGAGCTGAACATGGCTTATCTTTGAGTAAAAAATCTTGCGAATAGAATTTGATAAACCAACTTCTACACTTAAGGCCTTATCACCATACAAATTATGCAACTTTTTAACAAACTGCGCTGCTTTTTACTTTTAAGGAAATAATGAAGAAAAATATGGCGAAGAGTTTTTTTGTGGGCTCCACATTAAAATTGACGCCAAACTAACAAATTTAAACAAAATTACCCGTACTTTTTTCTAAAGCAAGCTAAAAGTAACAGCTTGTAGCTGTCAATTAAACAAATAGTCAATACCGTCGGTATGAAAAATCGCCGGTTCCTCTCGGGATAACTCAACAAGGTAAGCCCCATCGTAATGATCTCCAATATTGATGAACAAGTGAGAATAACTCTGAAGGAGCCAGGAAAACAGTTGTTATCACCCAAATATGTATAAGAAAGGGAGACCGCGATCGGTAAATATTTAGTCAAGACGTTCGATCAAGAACTTGTCCCCACCTTATGAAAAAATTCTGACAGAAAAAAAATATGTCTCATTGCGAAAAGATTATTCAAACAAGGCAACGTCCGAACGACAACAAATATTTCTGAGAAATTTAGGCGGTAGAGCAAATCCGCCTGGAATGAAAGCTCTCAAATTTGGCCGAGGATATGCACAGATGCTGTAGGAGCCCCTGCAGCGATATTACTTTTTACAATTAAGAACTACAATAAGGAACAAGCAAGTTGAAGGTTAACAAATCGTCTGGACCCAACGGAGTACCTATTGAAGTACTGAAAATAATACTCAATCTCCCTAAGCACATGTTCAATACCTGCTCTAAAACCGGCTTAGAAATGTCGTTATTTCGTACTAAAACAAGAGAGAAGTGCTCTTTTTTTAGCCATGACGATGTCCTTATGCCTTGCATGACCATCTTGCTTTTTGGCGTAATTTTAAACTAAAACCTCATATCTGAACAATGCTGTTTATGGGGTTTACGCGTATATAATATCAAATTTGACGCTATTTTTTGGATAGATGTCAAAACGCCTAAAACCAGCGGGAGCATACTAGGTCCAACAAGGAAGAGTTATATCGGCCGATATCTTTCCTCTCTCCAGGAGTAAACACTCCAACTTTCACACGCTGTCTAAGTCCAGCAGCACATTAGCATAGCATCCGGAAAGTGCGCCACCAAAACCGTTCCAGCGCGCGAACTGTCCTGGTAGCACTGTATCTATCAAATGCTTTTGACACTGTCAATCATTCAATGCTTCTAGCTGACATGGAAGAATCCTCATTACCACCGGAGTGGAAGAGGTGGATCATGGGCTACCGCCACCTGAGTAGTCGACAATCATCAGTAGAATTTCGAGGTCAGACGCAGAAAAGTTAAACAAGGCCAGTGTCCCTTACGCGCTACAACAACAGCAAGAACAACACTTTTTGGAACGACCGCCGCGACTAAATTCCAATAGTTCCTGCCACAGTCGGGTTTTTATACCGGAATGAACCGGATTTTTATCCCGCCAAGATCTGTTGCTCCTGCGATATTCAGGATAAACCAATTTGGGGAACATTTTTGCGGTTTTTTTTTAATAATCCTCGAAGAGAAGGTAAAGAAGTTTACCCACTTAAGGGCTAAATGTTCATCTAAATCTTTGAACTGAGATCAGTTTTCACAATTTCTGATCGGGTAAATTATTGGACAGCGAATGGTTTGTAATTATATACTACTCCAATAATAATTGCTTGAAACAATTATATCGAGGCGAATTCGCGGTGTCAAACGTTCGTGGATTTTTCTTTTTAATTTTCTCACATTTAAATATTTACGGGAATTATTTCACACAATTTGCCACCGAATATAGCGCTTTTAATGCCTGCATATTAGTATGTAATTCGCCCTCCTCAATAAACTGTTGGAAAACTTTTGAAGCAACATGTGAGAGAAAGAGTGGGAGACATGAAAATTGCATTTCTATTTTATTATGTGGCAAATTTAACTTTTTATCAACCGACGCTATCAACGGACGGTGATTTTTACATACAGAATGCAATTAAAATGTCAGTCTCGTAAAAAAAATAAAGCGGTTACGACGATGAGACGACAGCCATTAACCAGCTTCGGCCTGTGACAGCGGGCAGTAAAGGACCCTTGTATTTAGTGCAATGACAGTAAAGCAATTCAAAGCTTTCGAACATTGGGAAAGAAAAAACAAAAATTAAGAAAAAATGGATAAAAGTTATATTAGCCAGCGAGCAGCATAAACGAATGAATGAATGGATGATAAAAAGGCAAAATTGTAGACAGCGAAGAAAAAGCTTTCGCTGATGATGGCTGCTCTGTGCAACGTAAACTACGAGCTGCTTCTTGGTTAGGGTTCAGCTGTGTACGTGGCGTCGTACTCTTTAATTAATCCTCTTAATAGCGTCAAATGGCCAGTATTGCATGTAAAAAAAATGGAAAGGAAAATATTACAATTTAGCGAAAGAATTAAAATAAAAATAAATGCGCACATAAAAATCATTAAAAACTTAAAACTTTCCTGTCGCACTTTCTTTTTCTTTTTTTGCAGACGTTTGGGTGCATTAAATCGCTTACATTTGCTAATGCGCGACTGGCAGGCCATAAAACTATTTAGTAATCCTTAACTTAATGTCAAACGTTTGCGTTGGCGTTGGCGTTAACGTTCGGTTCAGCTACTGTTGGGTGACAGGGGAGGCTTATAAATGCGTTTGAGTGGACCAGTACATAAATTAGATGGCAAAGTGAGACTGCTGCTACATAGGCAAGGTAAATTTGGACATCATTGTAAGAAGAGCAGTTGCATTACCATAAGATAACGCACTTAGCACATACAGACAAACATACATACATATATACATATATATACATACATATACAAAGTTCTTATTGTTACTCTTCAAGGCAAAGCAGTAATTTAGCGCACTCATTTTCATCTTTCACTTCGGCTTTGGTTGTTAGTTTACTCCTTTGATTTGCTTAATTTGTTTGCCAAAGACTGCTGTCTTTTTATATACTTGCTCCTTTAATTTACTGGCATTTTTCTCTTACGACTTCGCGTTTTTTACAAACTTTACTATTCAGTTCCTTTTTAGCAGGGAAAATTCTATTCAAATTGGTAAACCGAGAATTTTTTATAATGCTTTTTATTTATTTTTTAGCCCTAATGAATATTCTGGTCAACTGAGAAGGGCAAAGTTGTGGGCAAAAAGTTTTATAAAGCTAAATACTGCACAAAGCCTGAAAGCGAAATGTGGTTTTTCTTTCGTTTCTCATTCACGGCTATATTAGCCTAGGTATCAACGTGGTTGGCTATCATATATACATATACATTTCTTTTATTATTTTTTCTTTTACTAAAAGCTAACCGCTCGAGGATTTTTATTTAATCTCCCTCGCGCGATAAACTAACGGTTTTATCACTTTTTTTAATCTTTGAAGTTAAAATGATGTTATCGACAATATATTACTTTAATTTCAATATAATTGGAGTAACTCAATGTAATTTTTTACGTATTTAACTAACTGTGCGATGAATAAGGTCTTGCCAGAATTTAAATTTGTTTTTCTTTTATTTCTAAATTTATCTTACAAATAAGCAAAATCTTAAGGAAATTCCCACAGTTTTTTCATAAACACAAAAGATTTCTTCTTGCTGACATTTAACGACTTATTTATGGTTGATTGGTTTCAAACACGTTCCCATTCATTTTTCTGACACATTTGCATTCAAGGACATCAAAGCTAAGGACAATTCTACCCTATTTCACAGACCATCGTTTACATACATATATATAGGCATTCACTTTTTTTACTTTTCTTATGTCACTGCCAGCTTGCTACTTACGATTTCTAATCCTTTTTTCAATATACCATAAAGTGGCACCCAAACTTTATCTTGGGTAAAAGCGCTCTTGTACCCTTGCAAAATTTCAATTAATTCCATAAACACTTTGCGGCTATGAAAATCTTTAGGCGGGCCATCGCGATACAATAACAAGGTTGGATTTGTTAGAATGACCAACAGACGCACTAACGCATCTGCGTATTCCTCGTCTTGCACATAGTCATGCAGCATATGCACTAAATCTGTTTGTAAGACTTTTGAATGTCCCAAATGGCGTCGATATTCATGATTTTCCAAATCGCGTCGCAAAATCCATATTAAATGCTGCAGACAAAATTAAATAAATTAATACACTTATGTGGAAAAATATTAGCAAAAAATACATACCCGGAGGCCTTGCAGCGCGTCCGGTTCAGCGAGATAGCGATCATTATCGTAATAGCCAAGCGCCGCGCAAGTGGCATCTATATCCGCGAGCAAAACCGACATCACAAAACAAATGTACGACGAATTAGTATTTTAATTACACGAATTATTCTTCAATTGGTGTGTATTTCACTGAATTACCGTACACGAATATTGTCAATCACAAATTTCACAATTGTTTCTGGCAGATGTAAACAAAATCAAATTCACACGTGAACTGACAGATGTGCGCGCCAGCAGTACAACAGCTGATCGCGCTGTGCTACCACTTGTTGATAGGGAATATTTTTTAGTGTGTTGAGGAATGTGAGGGGGTTGCAATTTTTAACGATGTGACCACCGAACCAAGAAATTATTATTTTCTTCATATATGAACGTTTATTAACGTTTAAGAAACTGAGTCACCTTACGAAGATATTCTAAAAATTTACTTTAATATATAAAGTTTTTGTTTAACTTTGCTTAAGGTTTTCTATTCGAGAAACTAAGAAATTAGTGCCTACACACGCAAAAACGATTAGTACTTTTATGTACTATTGCATTTCTAGAACGAACTTTACAGACGCCTTGATAAATATATCAGTACTGTTGATATTCTTAATACGAATATCAGATCAAAAGAAGAGACCGACAATCACAATTTCTTGTAGAGAACGTGCATGGGATGTTCGTTTTCGAGAGATGTGTATGAGTGATTGGCGGGTGTATAAGAGCGCGGGCAGGCAGTGCAGCAAGCTCATTATTGACGACTAAGAAAACTGAACATTTCACGTATGTGTTATTACACCATTTTCAATATACGGCAGCACTGTTGAACATACTGCCAGTATTTAAAGCAGATTGAAAAGATTGAATATATTTTTGTTATTGTGTTAGCTTAACCAGTTAAAATTAAAAAAAAGTTAAAGCAACAACAGAAAGAAAAAGAATGGGGGCCAGCGGCAGATGCGGCTTACATCGATTTGTGGGAAGAGAAAGCCATGAAGTTGCGCGGCCCGAAAGAATTCACATATTTATGCCGAAATGGCGCAGTCGCCGGCGTACCAGCCGGGAATGCAAGCAGTAGATGCTAAATACAAAATACACAATTTTGTACTTAAATATAGTGTTGCGAAAATGCGAGGCGAATGTCAGATGAAAGAGAGAATCCGATAACTAGTACATTCTAAACCTTCGATTACGAACAACTCAATTATTCTACACTTTCGTCTACGAGCAGCCGACTGCTATATAAGGGCGGCACTCAGCTGCCAAGTCAAGTCAGTTACAAAGTGAACTCGTTGGCGTTAACATCAGTAAAGTCGTAAAGTAAACTCGTTAGAAATTACATTTAAGTAAAGTAGATTGTGAAAGTTTATGCAAGTGATTATAACTAGTAAAGTGCATTGTAATTGAATTGTGAATTACTAAGTAAATAAAGGATATTAGATAAATTCTTTATAACGAAAGAAACGGCAAATTAAGTTGGTGATATTTTATTTAACAATCCAGAGATCGTACCCGAAGGATTCAGAAAATCATCCAAGTTGATTTAGCAAAATCGTAACAATATATCTATATATATATATATATTTATTAAAATAAAATTTAGTAAAATATAACTTTGGAGTATTTCTTAAAATTTCTCCTATATTTCGATTGTTCGTTATCGAGAACATTCCAACAGATTCTCCTAGAAGATTTATATGAGCAAGCTGTAGGAATATAAGAGCGATGTGCGCACTACTAGCATGTTCAGTTGAGTTTGTAATGGATCACCAGCACATAAGCAGTGTTTCCGAAATTCTTAGTGTACAGCAAAAAATTTGCAACATATTTATTTTTTCTTTAGTAAAATGGAGATGGAGAAATAATCCTTGTCTCATTATTATGTATGGCAAAGTCCATAATTTCTCATTTTATGCTCTCCAAACTAGATATGTACATGTGCGAGTGTAATACCTTTGTACATATGTACGTACAAACCTATTTTCAACCAACTGAGCTAACATATGTATGTACATATGTATGTACATATGTATGTATAGATTTCAACATTTGTAACTACTGACACAGTGGGACTATTTGGGGTTGGCTACTTGATATTGTTTGGAAAGTAAAATTGCATTGAAACGGTTGCAATTTCTATCAAGCACATACCTACATACTTTGTATATGCTTGCATATGTATGCACACAAACCTATGCAAATAACGATGTGTGTTTTTGTACGAGTAGATATCGTTTAAAAGAGCTGAAAATATGAAAATATCAAGACGTCCCCGGTTTTTGGTTGCATTTTCGTTTGTTACATTTATCTATAAAGTTGTATGCTGGTGCATGAATGCAAGTGTGTGTATTCATATACAGACTACTTCCGTTAATTCGAAATGGTTCGAAATTTTTGAGAGAAATTATTATTATTTAATAATTGGTATTTTTGCAATTACAAAAGTGTGGAGGTACATACTTGTATATGTATATATTCATAATATGAACGAATTAATATTTTTTTCTATAAAATATATTGCTAAATATGTCTCGATGATTTCCCCTATATCCTTCGAGCTCGATCAGTGGATTATTAAATAAAAATACCCAGATTTGCTGTACAGTTTCTTAATTGCAAATGATTTAATCAGCGCCTATAAACAACGGCTTAAATATATTAAAGGTTATTCCGTGGTACTTTATACCGACGTTGTTGTCACCATGCTTATCTCGTAGCTCCCTTTCCGCTGTGTTCATATACCTTATCACTTGTTCCTGCTCTAGTTCTTGCATGTTCTTACGATAGACAGCAAATACGATACTCGCGCTCTAGATTGTGCATGTGGCATCTCCTTTTCATCAGGCATTTTGGCATTTTCGCCACAATATTTCAATAAAAAAAATCTGTTAAATTGGTTTACTTCAAAAAACTGGTGCGGCGTCAATATGAATAACATTTTTTAAGGGAAGAAGTGCTTCAAATGCTTTTTCTCCACTTTTGTTTTGTATACGGAAGCTTTTTAAGGATTGGGATGCTGTACCTTCCTAAATTAATACCACAGCCAAAGGTTCTAATCATGTGGACGATGCAACTGGTCGCTCTAGTGCTGGTTCGCCAATATCCGTGATCATTGGAAGAATTTAATAATTATGAAACCTGATTTTTTACCTGTTAGGAATCGTTTGATGTGTCACTGGTCTCCATGCCTGGCCAATCAATGAAATAGCTGCTAGAATTATACCAAATTGACAACTTCTTTGCGATAGAACATTATCATTGGCCGTTCGGAACTTCGAAAACAGCAGCCGACGGAGCGATGAGCCTCGAAAAGACCAGGTGGAGCAGGACCTGGCTGTATTGATATTTTGAAGAAAACATAAATGAATGGCGCAATAGTATTAATTCGGCTACAATCATAATATAAACATATAAGCGGTGTCAGTAAAGAAGAAGCAGAAGAACGCGTCGTTTTGCTACGTAACGGAGATTTTAGTTCTTCTTGGTAAGAAGTGACAGCAACGAAATGTCAGAATTGTGCTCTCTTGGTGTAAATTTTACTGGTTTCCTGTCTCGCCGATCAGAATTTTTTCCTTTCGAATAAATAAGTGCATAAAAAAATTCATTGATTTCGTTCGAAATATTAACAGATTTTCTAGGGAACTCGTGTTAACTTCAAATGATAGTGAGATTTGAATTATCGCAAGTTTGACTTATCGAGATTCGACTGTACATACTTACATACAGTAAGTAGGTTAACAATAAATGGTCGCATATGCAACATGACGCATGCAACATGACATTTCAACTCTCCAGTGGCCAACAACTGCATTGTAATGCTGTCACATGGATTTGAACCACAACTTATTGTGGTATTATTTCCACTTATATACATATATATTTTCGTATATGTACATACATATGTATTTTTGTGCTCAGTATTCGTTAGTTCATTTATAAGTACATAAGTACATAAGTAAGTAAGTAGAATACTGTGTTGTAAATTGTTTAGAAATGATCTTGTGACTTTTGCTGTCACATGCAATTTAGCAATCATTTTGCTTGAATACGGATGAATGGAGATGTGTTTAAATTCAAACATATTGCATATACACGAACATATTGTACATGTACATATATATGTATATACAGTGCTTTTCCTCTGACTCAGAAAACTGTGATTGTAGCCTAATTTAATTTAAAGAAGGAACAAAAATCTTCGATGGCTTCCGGAAGCGACGGAGTCTCTTGCCTCAGTCGAAACTTTCATTTTCTGACTTCTTGGTCGGCTAGAGCAGAGAAGAGAGAACAGAAAGTCAGTTGATAATGCTGCAAAACTCGCTCTTCATCAAGGTGCAATTCAATCTGGAGAGAGGATCCAGTTCGTTTTTCTGATAGTACTTATTTTTAGAAGTTCTCCCTCGGTTTCAACATTAGGCTTATAGATCGAAATATCTGTAGTTCGAAAACATGTACTAGCTTGTCTTTTGAAGTTAGTTGAACACCAGGTCACAGCGAAAGCGCTAGTCCACTTGCGTTCTGCCCCCTGCGGGTTTGAACGCTCAAGAATTTACCGTGGTGATGGCATATCTGTCGTAAGAGGCGACTAAAAACCAAAGCAACAGTCGGGTTTTTATTACCGATCAATCCGGATTTTTATCCGGCCAAGGCCTGTGACTCCCTCAATATTCCTCGAAAGGCAATTATGGGAATATTTTGCGATTACAACAACAACACCGCCATGACGTACAACACTTTCATCTGCTCTGCGAAAGTTCCCCTAATATCGAAATACTTTTACGGTCAAAAAGCCACTGTCCACTTTCTTACAACTGCTAATTGTCCGGTTTGTATACATCCAGTTGTCAATATATACCATCGGATTCACTGTAAACAAATTGATCGAACCTTATCAGTGTGACTTCAGAAATGGTACATCCACTAATGATGACGATATATTCACTACGCCTCAAGTCTTGGAACGACACTCGAGCCTTGGTTTCGAAGACTGCCCTCGGTAGCACAGAAAGTGTCTGCCCTTAAGCGGCTAAGTCTGAGTTCAAAAGAACCGTCGGCGGGATCAGTGCAATAGATTTATTAGTAAGCGAGGTCAAACAAATAGTAAGAAATAATGAGCAACAACTACTTTGGCTAGGTGATATAGTCAGTTAAAGGCAGATAAAGTGAAAGACATCCATCCCGTTGGAAGGATCATGTGAATAGCACTTTTGATAGTTATAGTATTGCCTCAACCTCTGTGAGTTAGGGACTCAAAAATTTACCCGTTACAAGGCATGCCCGTCGTAAGAGGCGACTAAAATCCAGTAGTTTCCGCGACAGTCGGGGTTTTATACCGAA